ACATTACAGAAGGTATAAATCCTGAATATGCAACTGGTCTAAGCATGTGCTAACTGTAATGATGACCTAGCATTCCTTAAAGGTTGTACATGGTGCCTGTAATGTGTAAACATCCTAATTCTAAGTGAAAATACCTTCTGTGGTACTGTGCAAAGGTATGACTTCTGAGAGCTCTCACAGTATGGTAAGCTTTTACATGTTGAACTAGGTCAGTGGTTCCCAACCTTTTTTAAAATGACCCGCTGCTGGGAGTGGAGTGCGGCGGTGCCCGCAACGGCGGCAGCCTGGGGGCGGTGGTGGGAGAGCTCTCGGCATGGGGCACAGCTTGTGTTTTGTGTGCAGCATGGCCAGCATTGCCCCTGCAACTCTCATTTGGGTTGTGACCATGGGAACCGCTGAGCTAGGTCCAGTGCAGAGAATATGTGGAGCCTTTGACTTATGGTCACTTCTGGAGGCTAAATGCCCCAACACAGGCTTTAATTTTATAAACACATGATTAGCCTATGGCAAGTGACTGCTTCAACAAGTGGCTTCTTTAAAGTCAAGCATGTGATTAACTGCGCATAGGCCAGGTGCCTTGGTGCATGCAATTTAGGCTAAAAATAGAGGGTTCTTTGGCCCAGATCCTTCAGGGTATTAGTTAAAGTAAGCTAAGTGCCAAATACTGTAAACAAACCAAGCCTTTTTTTTCTTGTCCCCAGACAAGTGGCACTTATGATGGATTAGCTAAAACAATTCCCCAACAGATTAATTTTCAGATATGCCAAATACTTAGAGGTCTTAGTGAGGGCAGTGGCATCTGGAAGGCCTTGCTAAGACTCTTACTGAGCAACCATTAAAATCTAATTCACATTCAAGCGCAATACAAATATTTTATCTACCTAAATTACTTGCATATGGAAGTGGCTGCGGATATTTATACATATGATCCAGGAGGCAGCAGGGGGTGGAAGGCTCGCTCTTGCTACTCTAATTAAAGTGCCCAGAGTGTCATGTGTTTCAGCATCCCCTTGCTGAAAAATGGCAGCAGGGGCGCTTTAAAAAGCTTGTTGAATGAGCTTTAGTTAAAGTGCCCCCACCACCATTTTTCAGCACAGGGATGCTGATACACATGATGCTGGAGTGTGCTGGACCATGGTAATTACCATGCTCCACCAGACTTGATTGAGTCTGCTCTGATGCTCTGTAATTACAGCATGTCAGAGCAGCCCCAATGCATGAATATAGGTGCCCTATGGCACTGGCCCATAGGACTCATGGATTAATAAAAAGCTCTTAAGTACTTGATAGGTGGAAGGGGTCTTCTTGTCCATCTAGTCCATCCCCCTGTTCTAGACTGGATCACATCTGAAATAAAAGGTTGCTTTGAAGAGAGAGTAGATTACTTTCACACCCCAGATGGGACTGGAATGCACAATGCAGCCCAGTACTTTATACATTAGGAAAGTGAGGCCAGATGAAGAACATAGCAATTGGCATTCCCGATTAAATCACAAGAAGCCTGATAAAAAGCTACTGAGCAGTAAAACATATGTTGACTCAAATGGACTTTGCATCAGGGTTTTGTGTAAAGGATGGTTCAGAACAAAAGAATACCCTGAAAGATTAGTGTGTAAACTGAGAAACTGTATTTTAGGACAGTTCTTTTATATATTCTCAAGCCATAGTATAGTACATAGAAGCATATAGTGCTCTACTCATCAGGCACATCTCAGTTTGTAGATTATCTTTCAGTTAGTTACATGTGCCTGGAAAAAAAGTTTCAGTGTGTAAGGTTTTCATTGTAGCATACATAAAACTTAAACAAAAAGAAAAAATGATTTGTAGTATATTTTTCAAGTGAAATTTGTTACACCTACTTTAATACTGTACGTGCCCAGTTTTAACCTGCAGCTTCTTTGTAAAGCTGCATTAAATAGCACAATATATAATGAAAGTGCTGACACAGTTTTAACTATAGCTTCATGAATGGAGATGCTATAAAACAAAGAGCAGAATGAGGCAGGCCCAGAAAGCAGGCTGCATAAAAAGAACAGGTGATGCTACTTTTTCCCCCTCGTAAAGAGGGAATGAAGAATTGAAGCAGCTGCATGTGTATTCAAAAACACAACCACAGACTCTCTGGGGTTTTCTCTTCTTATTGCTGACTGACTTTCCCAACTTCCCATAAAAAGGGACCTTGTAATATAAAAGGAAAAGTATGGTAGAAGAAAAAATTTTAAAGCTCATTCCACTTTATTCTTCTGTTACATACGGGCAGCAATTTTTCCTCCAAACCCTTCATGTCATTCCTCTATTTTAGTGCAATTCTTTTTGGGAATAGATTTTTGTTTTTTATTACTTATTTACTTAAATTTGGAAGAAAGAAAAAAAGTGAAAAAATATACAACAGGCAAATTCATTAAGAAGAAAATACTATTCCTTATTCTGTCTTTTTCTGGTTCATTACTAAGGTTGCCATGCCTAAGACAAAGTTGCATTTATCTCATATGAACTCTATCCTGCATTCTTGAAAATTAGGGTATGCTGGGTTTTCCATTTACACAGTGAAAGTGAGATCCAATAGAGCTATTTCCTCTTGATTACTGTGGATTCAGTTCAACAATGGGAAACTCAATACATGAGATAAACAATGTGGAATAGAATATACTTAAATAAGATGAGCAGAAGATGGCCCTGTTTCTTTGGTATTTATTCCACTGAGTTTGGTATGTGGTTCATACCACGGAGAATTCTGGCTTTACTTAAACAACCTAATGTGTCTGATGTCTCTGGGGATTACAAAGGTGCAGTGGAAATGTCTTTTTTAACTGATAGCCATGGAAAATAAACAGAATATTTTACCCCAGAATCTACAATCTGTTTTCACTCTTTTCATCTGAACAAAGCAATATGTTTCATTTGGTAAATCTGCTTCAGAATCATATTTTTTTTGGTCAGCCATAAGATTAGCATTGCTCATATAACTCATGTTAAGAACTATTTTCATATGAATAAATTTGTGACTAATCCTGCAAACTCCTATTCACATTCATAATCCCACTGTTAGTGTGAGTAAGTGTGTATATGAAGAGACATATAATTGCATGCTTCCTCCTTTAGAACTTAGTCATGAGATCATCTTATTTAACCTGAAAAGTTGCTTATACAGACCATCAGGATCAAGCCCATTGTTCTCTAAGAAGCAGATTACTTCTTAGCCTTGCAAATATTGAACTTTAAAGCTGGCTGGAAGATGACAACTCTATTTTGTGAAAACTTTCAAGGTTTGAAATTTATTTTCTTGTAGAATGCAAAGAAACCTTTCAGAGATTTTCTGTAAAACAGAATTGTGCTGACACATTTGTTTTCTACAAGTTAATCTTCTTTTTCTCTCTCTGTTTTTATTATCTGCAAAGTCCACCCTGGACTTGAAAAACTGTCTTGTCAAAATATTTATCTAGATCAATTGATTTTATCAAAAAGTTTCTGACCAGCTCTATTGAACTTTAAACATTTATGTAGTTCCCACATATATGTATGCTACTACTCATATGTTTAATGTTAAGAATGTGTGCTTACAGGGCTGGGACTGTTATATGTGCTCACTGACTTTATGACATATTCAATAGAAAAAGTTATTAATCCATGATTCTTTTTCCCTTCTTCTAATGGTGCCATTGCTTGGTGAGTGATAATCAGTCATAAGCATGTCAAGTGAACGCTACTGAATCATTCAAAGTCCTGTAATTCAGGAATTCAAAGACGAGGATAAATCCTTCCTAATTGCTCTTTGGCAAAGAGCTTTGGAAAATGGCAATTCACCAAGGGGGCAGCTGATTGAAGGCAGTTTGCTAGCTGCACAGATATCTCAAGATGCTCACTGCAACTAAAAGTGATTTAGTTTCAAGCACTTAAACTTTTCTTATTATATAAACTAATCCACTGAAGTCTCCTTATTTAAGACATGTTACAAAGATAGAGCTCCTATCAGAAAGAAGAACAATGAGCCATCCAGGCTAATTCAGCAAAAAGAATATTTAATAACAAACTGATTGTGATGACCCATTGATTTGATGAATGGTAGATACTGTATGGAGTAGAAAACTCTTAAAGCGCATCATAGACATAGTGACAGAGTTGAAAGCCCCTAGCAATCTGCTTTTAACTTGTCTGGAGTGGTTTATTAACATGATAGATCTCTATGCTGGTTGTTCTCTCCCTCCTTTTTTCATATAGTAACATCTAAAAGCCTAGCACCATTAACTATTAAATCATTTGATTCTGAATATTAGCAGACATCAAAGTGATACATGAATACCCATTTCTTTGATTCCTGAAAGAGTTGATAAGTTAATTCACATATTCACTTGCCTACTGCTTTCCAAATATTCCACTGATTTCTACCTGTTATTGCTAAGGCACCCATTAATGCAATGTGGGTGTCACAAGTGGAACACAAACATAGGTGGTAGTGGAGAATCAGAACTATAATTGGTCTTTACAGGTAATAATGTTAACTTTTATTATAAGGAATCCAAATTTTTAATTTTTATAATCTTTGCTATAATTATCTGAAAAGGTTTGCTTATCTATTTTTTCAAAAGAAAAAAACAGTTGCTGAGTCATGAATGATAAGCACAACACCAGAAATGTTTCATTTCACAAAAGCTTATAAAATGTATTTACTCTGGGAAAAACACCCACCAGAAATTTGAAGAGAGTCACAAGTTTTTAACAAAGAAGTTCACCTGTCTCAGGGAATACGCGCACACACCACGCCCACTCACACACGCACATACCAACATGCTTATACTTTACACTGCATTCCTCTGATGCCATGATTATTTCTTTTATTTATATACCCCACCTTTACTGCACAGTCTAAACAAACAATAGACAACACTGTCAGGACTTAAAATTCTTTTCCTTAAAACTGCAACGAAACAAGTCTCAACATTTGCAAAACATTCCTTTATTTTTAGAAATAAATTATTTTGTATAAAAATTTGCATGCGTCAACCATTGCATTTATTTTAGCACAACCCAGGGATTCAATTCAGTCAGCCATCACAAGAAACAAACTCATCTTGTTGTACGAGTTGAACAATGTGGGACAGGAATGGAAATTCTCACAATCACAAAAAAGTACTTACAATTATAACATCAGACATGGTTTATTTCAACAGCATTTTTTCACAAGCTAACATTTGTTTTCCTTTTGTGATTTACTTCCTTTTGTGAGTGAACAGTTCAGAAGTTTGATACTCGGTCTGTATTTTATAAAATTAGGCTTTTTCCTCCCCTGCCCTTTCTGATTTTAGCTCTTAGTTAATCCTTATCCTTTAAAAGACTGACTATTGATTCAGCTGTGGTCTACAGATATTTTCAAGACTGAGTTTTTGGTGATGGTAAAGTCATTGTTTTTAAGTTCACATACTGCAGGTCTTCGTTTGTGTTTCTTGTCCCTGTTCAGTTTGTATGATTGCTGTAGCTCACATAAGTCGTCTTGTTAGAGGAAGCTGCAAAGCAAAACACCAAAGTTATGGTTCAGGTTTGAAAAACAAGGAAAAAATGTACATATCACTTTAACTGTAGTATTCAAGCATACCAGGAACCCCAACACAGCCCCTGTTCAGGACAGTGTTACATTATGTTCTTAGGTTTGGGCACATACAGGGCATGTCTACACAAGAAGCTACAGTACAGTGCTCACGGTGCATTTCTTTAGTATTTGTATAATCAAGTATTAAATAAATGTGCAGCAACTGGAGCTACTGTGCAGTAGTGCTGGTGAAAGCCTTTTACGTGATACAACTGTACAGTAGCCTAATAATACTGTATAGTAGCATATTAGCACAGTATTATTGCTACTGCACAGTATTATTCAGCTACTGTGCAGTCAACATCTCATGTAGATGAGATGGTGTTTCTGGTGTTTAAATATTGTGCTATACAATAACATTGAATTAAGGTGAAACTCTGTGTTTTGATTACACTTTGTATCTCTGTGGGTAGGACACAAAAGAGTGGAAGAAGAAAGGGTCTGATAAAGGCCTACTCCCAAAGGTGTTTCTGCATTTTATATTTAATAGTCATTGGAAGAGAGACAGCATTGGGATAGGTTCTGCCCCATGAAAGGGCAGAGGCAGAAGCTACAGCCCCTTCATTCCAAAACAGTCACCATTTCACCAAATTATGTTCCCTGTGGCTTGCTTTCCTTCTGGCAACACATTTCTTCCATTCTTGGCTGCCCAATGCTCCAGCTTGAAAAGGAAGGTGAAAGGGTACTTGGGCAATGCCTACTCCATGGCTTTGTGGTTAGAGGAGTTTGCTGGAAAGTGGGAAATGCAGGTGTCTCTTGGGGGAAGGAGGGTGGAACATAGGTCTCCCACTAGACTATTGAGTTAAATGACGGGAGAAATCCTCATTCTCCCAGTCAGAAGTAATATTTTTTCTGTGGACCCATCTGTAAGGACTTACGTGCCATTAGCTACAAAACCCAGGCAGAACAGGATTGCCACAGAGCATATGTGGCCTTTCTGAGGTCTCATAAAGACAAGAGAAGCCGCCAATGTAAAAACAGAATCTAAAATCTGTGCAAGTGCCAATAATTTACATCTGGACACAAGTATAACACTCGGATGCCTTTATGCCAAATTGGATTTGGTCCTTGGGTTCTAGATCCTATTCAGTTCCTAAGACTGCTCTGGCTATTTGAACCTACATCAGCCATTTCCCATGAAAAAGCTTTATGTACCAGATTATGGGGCTAGCTCTACCCCTCCCAATGAAACTGCCTATTTGATAGTCAGGAATGAAGACTCATGGGATAGGTCAGAAGGAGAACAAGCAAGAGGGCATTCTACTCTGTGGTCTAGGAACCTGAGTATTCACCTGGAACGGCGTGGAACAGGAATGGGCAAAATGTCAAATCTGGCCCACAGGGCTGTGACAGCATGGGTCTGTAGAACTAGGGCTCTGCTCCAGCCCCAGCCTCAGCCCTGGCCCTGTGCTGTCATGGCCTCATGATCCTGGGATTGCCATGGAGATCATCCGGGAGCTACGCAAGCAGGGTGTGTGGCTGGGAAGAGAGGGCCAGGGCCAGGATCTTGGGGCAGTGATGACATGGGGCTGGGGCAGAGCCATGATCTCCTCCCTGCACACCTCTGCCTGCAGAACCTGTGCTCATCGCAGGGGCATGTGGGCAGCGTATTGCAGCCTTGCCCCAGCCTTAGCCGTGGCTCCATGTTGTCACTATCCCAAGATCCTGGGATTTCCCAGGCCCTGCCCACTATCTTCCTTCCAGCTGAATGCCCTGTTCATCTGCACAGGTCCCATCCCCTGGAAGATGGGCTAGGGTGCCCAAGCATCAGGGCTGGGTCCAGTGGGAGCTACCAGAAGGATCTGCCACTGCAGAGGCTGTAGGAAAATTGAGTCTGCTGTGGGCTGGATTTTGCCTACCCCTGACTTAGAAGGGAAAGACTTCCTTTTTTCCTTGGAAGAACCCACAACTGGGTTTTTGCTCCTGTTCTAAATGCTCTTTATGTATTTATTATTTCATACACAATACATAAATGGCATGGGGCATGAGAATAGCAGAGCCCAGGGCTTCATTCCTTCAAAAGGTCATGTCTAACTCACAAGTCATGGAGTCAGGTTCCATCTTGCATGGTCTTCTGTCCCCATGGTGGCTGCATGCCTTTCTACCCAGTGGGAAAGCTTCACAGGGAGATGCCCTCTGTCTTGTTTAGGTTGGAGACTTTCTCGGGAAGTGGGAAATGTGTATTCAAACTCTTTCATATAAATGTAGTCCTTAAGCTTAGATCTCCCACTTCCTTCTCCTCCCTTCACACTACTACGATGCTATTGGACAAAAGATGGATGGATAGTCCTCTTTTCTGTGCTGTGTTTTACTGTATCCTGAAGTAAAATTTTCTATCAACTAGGCATATTAGTTCAGGTAGGCATCTCCCATTTAGTCTGACTCCTGACATAAGGCCGCCATTGTGGGAATAGGAGAACAATGCATCTCGCTGGATGGAATAGTATTGATACACATTTTTGTGGTAAATTGTAACAAGAAGCCCCTTCTTGCCTGAACCCCCCATTTTGTGCATTTCTTTTTCCTTCTGAGTATTGGCAGAGACCTAGCACACTCATTGCATGGGTGTGGCAAGGCTCAGAGCAGGCCAGAAAACTGAAGTGGCTTTCTGTTGGAAAAACCTACAAACTACATGTATATGTAGCTCGATTGAGCTAAGTGTCACTAAAGAAAACAAAAGAATTAAATATCAACTTCAAAAATGGTAAATATATCCTGGTGCTAACCTGTCCCCACTTACTGTCCCCAGTAGCCTTTGAGCCTCACTAGCTCACATTGCATTTTTATATATTTCTCACAATGCATTTTTATATTTCATCTGTCTCATCTTTACCAGGTCATTTTGTATTTTATATTTTATACTTTTAAACCCTTAAAGAATGTAGTCCCTGTAGAATGAAGTTACACCCTGGACCATTGTTAAAAATTGCATTGAAATTGTAATTGTACAGTGATAAAATCTACTATATTGGGCTGGTCCCCTGCGTGAATGCAAGTATGAATTACAAATCAAGAACTTCTGGCTGTTAATTGACAATAGCCTAGCCAGAGGAACTTACCATTACAAAACTCTACTCTACAAACTATTTTACGCTAATCAAGCCAAGGAACTGATTACTGGAACTGTGCACCCACCTTATTGACTATTCCTGTAACCCATGACAATATAGCCATTGAGTCAATCAAGTCAAGGGTGGACTCCCAAAACTACACCATGGGGCGGAACCCCAGTGACTGTGACTGATAGTTGTCATGCACTACTCAAGACCCATGTGGGACAGCCAAGATGATGCTGGGGGATCACACACGTCTGCCAGAAAGGGATAAAAGGCAGTGAAGTGTGACCCTCAGCGGCACCCCCCTCATCCAGCACCCAATCTACCGATACAGAAGGACAAGCAGGTGACCCCCTTCTGGAGAAGACATCATCCTGGAGGAAGCTGACCATTGACAGCAGACTCCAGGACCCCAGGTAGGTATAAACCAACATCGGTGCTACACTACTATTGCAGCAATTCTGTGTGTGTGAGTGTGTGTTAAGGCAGCCAGTACCCCTCATAAGTCAAAGTTTGTATTTATGATTTTATTGGTAACTTCACATCCCGTACAATAAATTAGAATTCATTATAATCCTGTGAGTCGGTCCTTTGTAGCCAACAAAATGGCTGCTAAGTCTTAGACATCTTTTAGGTAAAATAGGATAAAGCTACCATATATATTTACTCCTAGACAATAGCAGGGAACTTTAATGGGTTTGATAATGTAGGGTGTGTGTAATACACTGTGAGTGGACTGTAGTTTTATTTGGATGATTTAATCTGTATCTTATCTTCAAATTTTGTGTGTAAATCACTTTCTTATTTCCATTGACTAGAGCTAGCTGGGCAGCTACTAGTGAAAAATCCATTTGGGAGGAAGGCAGGGGAGTAAAGAGCCACCACGACTCCTGGCACTTGAAGG